TCCTCCACGTCCACTCACTCACACCAGGCCTGCCTGTCCTCCTCCACGTCCACTCACACCAGGCCTGCCTGTCCTCCTCCACGTCCACTCACTCACACCAGGCCTGCCTGTCCTCCATGTCCACTCACACCAGACCTGCCTGTCCTCCTCCACGTCCACTCACACCAGGCCTGCCTGTCCTCACGCCCACTCACTCACACCAGACCTGCCTGTCCTCACGCCCACCGCTGCAGGCTCGGAACTGTTAGTTTTGTTAGTGGCTGGTAAGCAGAGGAAGGCCCACTCTCTCCTCCCGCTCAGCACACCCTGCCTGAGCCCCACTCCTCTACTCAGGTGGGGCTGGGCTGTGTGCACACATCTCCAAGGGAGCTGGGGACAGCATGTGTCATGAGCCCCGACAGCAGCCATGGAGCACGAGGCTCAGGCCTGGAACAGCCTCGCCCCAGCCTGCCTCCTGCCAGGGATGGGAGCATGGAGGCTCAGGCCTGGAACAGCCTCGCCCCAGCCTGCCTCCTGCCGGGGATGGGAGCATGGAGGCTCAGGCCTGGAACAGCCTCGCCCCAGCCTGCCTCCTGCCGGGGATGGGAGCATGGAGGCTCAGGCCTGGAACAGGCCTGGCCCCAGCCTGCCTCCTGCCGGGTCCTCCCAAGCTGCCACTTACGTGGGGCGCCAGGCACTGAGCTGGTTAGTGAGGAGGAGCTGGTGCGGGTGACGGCACTGGAGCAGGGGCTCGTACCGTAGCGGGGCAGGGCGCCTGTCAGTGCGGCCGTGTGCGACAGCCAGGCAGCAGGGTCAATTGGCCGCACAGGGTCAGCTGGGCAGCCGCCACCAGGCGAGGACGACGGTGACGGAGAGGGAAGACGCAGCACGCAGCACGCAGCACGGGAGCAGAGAAGAGAGGCCTGTCAGGAGGCTGGGCCAGACGGCTGCCCCGCCCACCTGCCCCGCCCACCGTGCCTGCTCACTCACCCCTCGGGATGGTGAAGTAGCTCCTAGGCGTTGGGTCCCAGCACTTGGCCACTGTGAGGCTGATGGGCCTGCAGGGCGGGCTGGTCACATGGTGAGGCCCCGGCAGCCCCTCCCAGCAGCACCCTCTCCCGCCCCCCCAACACACCCACCCTCCTCACCCTGTCTGGGACACGATCTCCCGCAGCACCCGCACGGCATCATCGTTGCTCATGTTCTCAAAGTTGACATCGTTCACCTGCAGGAGTCGGGGGCGGGGGTCAGAGGTTCTGGTGAGGGGACAGCTCAGGCCAACAGCACCCAGGGCTCTCACCTGCAGCAGCATGTCTCCGGGCTCGATGCGGCCGTCCGCGGCCACAGCCCCGCCCTTCATGATGGAGCCGATGTAGATGCCGCCGTCGCCCCGGTCATTGCTCTGGCCCACGATGCTGATGCCCAGAAAGTGGTGTCTCTCTGCAGGAGGGGCTGTGAGCAGGCCCTGCAGACCCCCACCCAGGCCCACTCCCACCGCACCCGGCTCGCCCACAGGCCTCACCCATGTTGAGCGTGACAGTGATGATGTTCAAGGACATGGTGGAGTCGGTGATGCTGCTGAAGGAGGACGCCTGTGGGGGGACCCGGTGAGGGGCTGCAGCGGGCCCCGCCCCACCGGCCCCCGCCCACCCCACCACGGCCACCAACCCGGTCTGTCTGCCTCAAGCGCTGCTTCCGCCTCCGGCGCTTGTGCTTCCGGATGAGCCGCGAGGAGGTACTCTGCTCGGTGGAGCTGCTCAGCCTGGTGGGACAGGGGGCCGAGGTCAGAGCGCCAAGGACACAGACCCGGGAGGCCCCCGCTTCTGCAGGGGACACAGACGGGGGGGGGCACACGGCGCCCTCTCCCACAGAGCTGGCCGTAGAGGGATAGACAGGAGCCATTGTCTTTGCGCCCCTCATGCCTCACATGCAACAGGCACGCGGGCGTGTACTTGAGACCCCACACAGGCAGACGAGAGTGGGACATGAGCATGTTAAGCCAGTCCTACATGCACGCGCACACACACACGCACACACACGTACACACACGCGCACGCCCAGCCCACCGGCTTGTGTTGTCCTCCTCATCAGAGTCGATGAAGCTGCTGGACTCAAGCTCACTGCTAAGTGCAGTGGACGCGCTGTCTGGGGGTAGCCCCAAGTCCCGCCGCCGGTCCCCCCTTGGGTGCCCATTGGTCCGGGCCGCTGTGGGACAGCAGAGAGGGAGCTGACCATAGAGCCTCAGAACACACAGCATCAAGCTGCTGCTTGTCTGGGAGCTGAGGGGAACTGGGATTAAGGGGTGGTGAGGGAAAAGGGGATGGGGGCAGCACCAGGCACGGGGCATCCACCCAGGGATCTCGGGCCGCTGAGGGGAGACATGGGGTGGTGGCAGCACTTGGGCTCTGTGGCCTCCCAGGGGGTTGGGCCTGGGCCTGGGGACCAAGCATGCGGTACCCTCATCGCGGTTCCGGCGCCGGCCTCGCTCCCGCCGATGACTGAGCATGGACTCGGTGCCCGTCTCATTATCCATCCCATCACGGCTGCTGGCCACATTTGGACTGTGCAAAGAACAGGCGGAGTGAGGCAGGATGGGGGGGGTGAGGGAGGGGGATGTGTGGGGCAGGATGGGGGGTGAGGGAGGGGGATGGGTGGGGCAGGATGGGGGGTGAGGGAGGGGGATGGGTGAGGCAGGATGGGGGGGTGAGGGAGGGGGATGGGTAGGGCAGGATGGGGGGTGAGGGAGGGGGATGGGTGGGGCAGGATGGGGGGGTGAGGGAGGGGGATGGGTAGGGCAGGATGGGGGGGTGAGGGAGGGGGATGGGTGGGGCAGGATGGGGGGGTGAGGGAGGGGGATGGGTGGGGCAGAATGGTGGGGGGTGAGGGAGGGGGACGGGTGGGGCAGGATGGGGGGGTGAGAGAGGGGGACGGGTAGGGCAGGATGGGGGGGTGAGGGAGGGGGATGGGTGGGGCAGGATGGGGGGTGAGGGAGGGGGATGGGTGGGGCAGGATGGGGGGTGAGGGAGGGGGATGGGTCGGGCAGGATGGGGGGGACGGGGCAGAACCGGCCGCTGGTGTCCCCACACGAGAGGGGCGCTCAGCTGCGGCAAGCAGCCCTGCGGCCAGCCCCTTCCACATGGCCTTAGGTGCAGGTATCCAGGAGTAACAGAGCTCTGTTTCCCCACCCCACCCCAGTCCTTACTGAAAGGAGGGAGGCCGGGAGTCCCCGATGCCACCTGTCCGCTCGAGGGGTGGGGGGAGGTCCGTGTGGCTGTCAGTGCCCTGGGACCCCACATCCGAGTGGGAGCCCTCAGCCAGTACCAGCTGTGAAGGGAGAGCAAGGTCACTTCTGCAGAGCACCAAGAGCAGGTGGCCAGCCCCGTTCACCTTCTCTCCTCCAGCCCAACCACCTCCTTCCAGAAGGGCACCCCCTCCTGGGGTCTAATGGGGTCACCCACACTCACCCAGGACACCACCCGGCCATTGAAGCAGGGCAGTTTGGCGTTGTCCTCAGAGATCTCCTCCTTCACCACCCTGCAGACAGACACACACGAGGCTGCCGCACAAGCCTCATGGCTAAGAGACACCGCGGGTGGCGGGGCCTCCACCGGCACAATGCCTTCCCAAGGGCCTTGGCGGCCACCCACCGGCCCCAGGCTCTCACCTCTGCTCCCGAACAGCACCGGGACGGGGTGGAAGGGGGTGGCCTCCACTCACCCATGCTAGCCTCCAACCCATGAGAGGGGCTCGGCAGCTGGGGCAGAGGGCTCCTAGGGAGAGCCTGGCCCCTGAGCCACCCCCTTCCCAGCCTCTCTCCAGGTGTCTCTCCAGCCCCACCCGCAGCTGCTCCTGGAGCTCACACCACTTAGGCCCTCCTCTCGGTCAGCAGGCCACCTCCAAGGCACTCAGTCAGTCCTTGGCTTTCCGCTGTCTCTCCACTGCACATGGCAAGGGCTCCAACCCCGGCCACTCACAGACAGGCCTCCGACCCCCCCAGCATGGGAACAGCAGGTCCACAGCTCCTCGGGCCACCGTGACCCAGCCTGACCCAGGGGTTGCCCACCCCTGCCCAGTGTGCCCCCCTGGACCTCTCTGAAGTATTCAGGGGTCGCAACCTGCTGATCTGCATCTCGCTCTGCTCCGTGCCTGTCAGACCCTAGCGTTCTTCCCTGTATCCCACCAAACCAGGCAGGTCTCAGATCACAGCTGGCCGGGCAGGTCACCAGCCAAGTCAGCCCTCTGTGTGGTCAAGAGAGCCCTCGTGTGTGTGTCCAGCCAGGGAGACAACGCAGACTCCACACACTAGACCAGCACCAGCTCTCAGGGGGCTGCAGTCTGACCCTACCTGAAGACCTGGAGGGACAGCCAGGGACAACTGCTAGCCAGCTATCGCCGCCGACCAGCACCAAGCCTCACCTGGTCTCAACGCTGCCCCGGTCTGACGGACTGGGAAGGAGCTATGGGCACCCAGGCAGGTGAGGGCATGTGCAATGGAACAAGGCCCCTGCACAGGAGCAAGGTGACCAACACAGGTCACAGGGCCCCTGGGAAGGGCTGCGGCCTGTGTCTGCTCAGCTCCACCGAGCACAGTGGGATTTTCCATGCTCGAGAGCCGGGAGCTGGAGCATACCTGGAAGGAATGGTCCCTGTGCCAGGCCCAAGGCCACCCCTGCCCGTCCGTCCAGGTTCGCTGGCCCAGCACCACACAGCCTGTGCTGCGCAGAGGCGACTGGAGGCCCCATCGGAGCTGACACCACCATGCCACCATGGGACACCAACCACCAGGCCCTGGCCACCCATCCATGGGGCAGAGCGGGTGACAGAGACAAGGAGGTACGTCCCATCTGCCACTGCCTCTGGGGGCCTCGTTAGGGACTCACATCAAGGAACCGGTCTTCGTGAGTGGAAAGCCACCTCTCAGGGCCCCTGGCGTCTGCTGCCCCAGCCCCAACGCTGGGCTCATCCCAGGACAGCCTGGGACACAGGCAGCAGACCCAGCAGAAGCAGCCATCAAGAGGCTGTCACCATGGGAACCTGCCAGCGCTCCAGGGGCCTTGAGCTGTGCTAGAGGCAGCTGTGGGACCAGAGGCTCTCCCTGAGGGAACTGACTGAACCAGAGACCCCAGCAGAGATCCCGCCTCAGCTCCGAGCCTGGCCCCGGAAGCCCCCTGGCAACCTCTCCACTGCCGCACCAAGGCCAGCCCTATCCGACGCACCCCAGGGAGCATCACGGCAGGAGCTCCCCGGCAGCCACTGCCTGCCTCAGAGTCCGCCCCGGCCAGGGCCTCGAGGTGGCACAGGCAGGCCACCTGGGGCCTCTGTCCCGCCCCTCAGGCAGACGCCCCTCCAGGCCCAAAGGCCCTGTTTCTTGGCCCACTTCTCAGCCTGAGGAGCTCAAGTCCGGCCTTTCTCCTAGATTGGGGGTGAGGGAGATAAAAAGGGCCAGGGGCCAGGACAGCAGGAGAGGGGGAAGACTTGCCCTAAATCTCAGGGAAATCCCTGCCCCTCCCCCCAGAACCACAGGCCAAGGGTAGCAACAGGAGTGCTTCCCACAGCGGGAGCCCGTCACAGCGCTGCACCGGGCTGCTCGCGCCCTGGACTGTCCAGAAGTGACCGTCAGAGTGGTCACCGCCAACTTTTCTCAGCATTTTGCCAACATTTTGCCCCCAACCTCACAATTCTTTTTTTTTGGGGGGGTCCAGTCGTGGGGCCTGAACTCTGGGCCTGGGCGCTGTCCCTCAGCTCTTCAGCTCAAGGTGAGCGCTCTACCACTTGAGCCACAGCGCCACTTCCGGCTTTTTCTTTTTTTTGCTTGTGTGGTGCTGAGGAATTGAACCCAGGGCCTCAGGCATGCAAGGCGAGCGCTCTACCACTGAGCCACCTTCCCAGCCCCACCAACCTCCCAATTCTTGTGTGTGTGCGCATGCATGTGCCAGTACACCTAGGCACGGCCCTCAGGTCTCTTCACTTGGGTGGCGCTCTACCACTTGAGGCACAGCCCCATCCCACAGCCTCACAAGCCCCAAGGAGATCTTGGTTAGCCCCCCACTTGTAGCTGTCGCCACCAGCCCTGTGTCCCGCCCCAGGGATGAAGGTAGGGACTCAGCACAGCTTGGCCCAGAGGGACCTCAGGACTCTGAGAAGCCACAGCACAGGCATGGACCAGCTTCCCCAGGGGCACAGCCCTTAGTAAGTCTGTCCTCCTCTGTAGACACAGAGGCTGGCAGAGCACAGCACAGGGCGTGAGAAAACCCTAAGTCTCCAGCCGGCAGACCAGTGCCTAGCTCCTGACCAAAGCTAGCCACTCTCCTGCCAGCCCACACAAGGGCGGCGCTGAGTCCGTGGACCTAAGCCTCCTCCCCAGGCTCCAGTGTATCCACGGCCCAGGCCGAGACTCTCCCAATACCAGGGAGGTGCACATAGCACAGGGAGGTGGAATGTCCAAACCCAGACAGCACCGTCGGGAAGGGCAGCGCAGCCGCCAAGCACTCATCCCCGCCAGCAGCCCCATCGTGGCCCTACCAGGATGCAAGGAGTCTGGGGGTCCTAGACCCTACCCTCGCTCCCTGGCCCTCAAAGATGCAGAGGCAGAAGCTCAGCGCTATGTCCATCAGGCTGACAGCAACAAGCGCTCTTCCCCCGTCCTGGGAGTGAGAGCCAAACACCTTCCCCAGCTGCCTCAGAGCCCACCTCCCACCACCACCAGACCCAACCCAGGGCTCAGCCGCCACGCCCTATGGCCCTGCGTCAGAACACCAGGACGTGCAGACATTTTGGCCAAAGGTGTGTGTGAAAGGGGCCAACACCGACCAGAACCCACTCCCCCTAAGCCAGCTGTGGTCCGGGGCAGGAACCCAGAGTCACCAAGCACTCTGCAGAGCCTCCATCAGGCCAGCCAGGAACTTCCTCCTCCTCCCCAAGGTATCCAAAGCATGCTCCAAGCTCAGCTCTCAGTGACCCACGCTGAAGTGGAGAAGCCCCTTCCCTAGGGAATCTAGTCCACTGAATGCATGATCCTGCAGACCAGATAGACTCTGAGGCCCTGTGGTGGAACTCTGGCAAGGAGAGGAGGGAAGCAGTTGACAGAAATCCCTCTCAGATTCCTGAGGCTAGATGGCCAATGATCAGAGAACAGGGAAGAAACAAGGTACAGCCCTTGTCCTGCCTGTTCATGGAACATTCTGTCACCCAGGCCAGCCTCCACCTACCTCCACCTCGTGGCTCTCTGCCTCCCAGCTCTCCTGAAAATATGAGATTCCCACCTTGTACCCTTAAGCTCTCTGCTAGCTAACTGCCCCACAGCCTAGCCATGCCCAAGCCTCCCCAAATAGCCAAAGGGGCTGTTCCTACATAAAACCCACCTCTGAGGTTGGGCACCTATGGGTCCTCCACGCCTGCCCACAGCGCAGCGCCACTGGAGGGCAGGGGGCTGAGGCCAGGTGACCTGCTCTTGGCAGCCCTAGATGGGCATCAGGAAGAGGGTACGGAGTCCCCTCAAAAAGGTTCCAGAGCTGGGTGCCAGTGGCTCACGCCTGTCATCCTATCCTGAGATCTGAGGATTGCGGCTCAAAGCCAGCCTGGGAAAGAAAGTCTGTGAAACTCTTTTTTTTTTTTTTTTTTAAACTGTCGTGGGGCCTGAACTCTGGGCCTGAGCGCTGTCCCTCAGCTCTTCAGCTCAAGGCTAGCGCTCTACCACTTGAGCCACAGTGCCACTTCCGGCTTTTTTTCTTTTTGCTTATGTGGTGCTAGGGAATCGAACCCAGGGCCTCAGGCATGCAAGGCAAGCGCTCTACCACTGAGCCACCTTCCCAGCCCAGTCTGTGAAACTCTTATCGCCAATAAACCACCAGAAAAGTGAAGTGTCGCTGTGGCTCAAGTGGTAGCGCGCTAGCCTTGAGCTGAAGAGCTGAGGGACAGCGCCCAGGCCCAGAGTTCAGGCCCCACGACTGGACCCAAAAAAAAAAAAAAAAGGTTGCCTAGCACTGCAGACAGCAGACTGGGTCTAGGAGCAACATGCAGTAGTAGGCAGCATTAGTCTGCGAAGAAGAGCATTTCTGGAGACTTCTGCTAAAATAATAGACTCAGTTAAAAACTAAGAAGCCTTCCACACACACACCTGATGCTCCAGCCCAGGGAAGCCCAGGCACGGGGGAATGGGGTCCACGGGAGGTCACCCAGCAAGGGGGGTAGGGAGGGCCAGCCTCTTGGAGCCCAAGCTAAGCCCCAGCACCACCCCTTTAGGCTGCCCAGGGTGCCCCTCCTCTGCTTATTCCCCGTGGCTGGGCTAAGTGGGCAAGAGCGAGCCCCGCTATCCACACGACTCTGCACCTTTCCCTCCGTCTCCCACAACACACCAGGAGCCACATGGTGGCCTGAGCTTGACCCAACCTGAGGCTGCCATGGAATCTAGGAAATGTCCTCAATGTCAAAGTCCAAGACCAGGCCACACACAAGGACAGGACATGCCTGAGGGCACCAGGAGCACCTGCCTCAACCACAGGCCTAAGTTTGTCCTGTCCTCCCATCCTCCCCCCCACCCCGCCCGGCCCCAGCACTGCCAAGCAGCAGACTCGGATTACCAAGTCTGCGCTAGGCCAGGCCTCTGTGGACGGCCAGACCCCTGCTCCTTGTCGCAGAGGCTTAACTCCCCACAAGTGGAAGGCCCCTTCCCCTGGGAGCGCTCAGTAGTCACGTTTGGAGACACCGGCCCAGCAGCTGGCTCAAAGCAACCGACACCTGCTCTCCTCCGAGTGCAAGTGTAGTTTCTCTGGGGACAGAGGCCCACGAGCCAGGAAGCTGGGGACCGAGCAGGTGCGGCGGACTTCCTCGGTCCCCAGCGACCACTGACCTCGGCCCCCTTGTGAGAAGGGGCTTTCTTCTTCGACAGGAGAGAAAACTTATGCCAACCCCGGCGACCCCACGAAGGTGCTTGTCCTGTCCATCCCAACGAGGGGTCCGCCGGGCCTCGGGACCGGCCTGACCCTCGCTGCCTTCGACAGCCCCCAGCCCCCCGAGCCCCAAGATTACCGCCTCCCGCGGGCGGAACGGCAGGCCCTGCGCCCGGCCTGTGCCAAGGGGCCGCGGGCTCTGGTTTGGGGTGGCCGCAGACTCGGCCCCGCAGAAGGCAAGGAAACCGACTGCGCGAGCCAGGAAGCGGGGGCCGCCGCTCGGACCCG